AATTTGAATATAAAAATATTTCATAGAATTTGTTTTGCATGAAGAATCAAATCCAAACTCTTTATACATGGGTTTCCATGAGTTAGAATTGGTTCTGCAGCAACTGGTTTGATTTTTTGTTGTTGTTGTTGCTGTTGTTTGTTTCTTCTTGGTTTTCTTTGTTTTAACTTGTCTTGGAAGTCCTTCTGTGTCTGTCATCTACTGGTACTGTTTCTGGTATAAAATTCCTGTAGGATAATTGGAAGCATATTGTCTGTAGCAAGTGTCTGGTGCTTTGACTCCATCAGTGATTCCTCAGGAGAAACATGGCCAGTCTCATACTGTGCGCGTTTTAACCTCTGAAAGCCCACTGGAGGGTCAGCTAGGAGGTGGTTTGAGATAGATAAGACATTGATGCTAAAGTAGTTGTAGGAGGTTTTTATGTTGTTGTGTTTTGTGTTTTAGGGTTGTTTTTTTTTAAGACAATGGCATAAAATTTTCCACAGTGTGTTGCTGTTGTATTCTGTTGAGTCAGAACTGACCCATACCTGATCCTCCAGCAGATTTTCAGGGACAGTAAAATCACATTGAAGAAAATTGCTCATCTTCCTCTTGAAGAGCAACTGGTGGATTTGAATCACATGCCTTCAGTATTGCAGCACAGCTTCTTACCACTCATTTTACAGTTCCACCAGGATTGGATACACAGATTCCAATCTCACCATATTGTTGTCAGCAAAAGAAAGTGCAGCCACATGTTGAAACGTGATCTCACATGCTTCAAGCATGTTGCTAGGAGGGGATCTTTCTTGGGGAGGGACATTGAGCTTGGAAAGGTGAAGGGTTGGCAAAAGAGATGAAGATCCTCAACCAGGTGGATTGATACCAGTGACTGTCACAATGGGAATTAAGTGTGTCAGGATGTTTGAGGATGGCACAGGATAGGACAGATCTGTTGCTCATAGGGTTGTCATGGGTTGTACTCTACTCGATGACACCTAGGAACAAGAGCAACGATGTCTGTCTGAAGACTAAGGTGTACCTAATTCAGGCCATGGTCTTTGCAATTACTTGTTATGCATAAAAAATCCGGACTAGGGGTGATAGAAGTAGAATTGATGTCTTTGAACTGTGATGCTGGAGAAGAGTATTGAATATACATACCATGGACTGTTAGGAGAACAAACAGGTCATCTTAGAGAGGGTGAGATCAGGCTGCTCCTTGAAGGCAAGGATTCTGAAGCTTTGTCTGACATACTTTGGACACTTTGCAAGGAGGGACCAATACTTGGAAAGGGATATCACGCTTGGGAGGATGGAGGAACAGTGAAAGAGATGATGATATTCAATGAGTTGGATTGACTCAGTGACTTGGGTAATGAGATTTGGTGTATTGGAGACAATAAGATTGGCACAGGATAGAGCAGAGTTTAGGGATGTTGTATATAGGGCTGCTATGAGTTGCAAGCGACTCGATGGTACCTGGCAACAACAACAACAACAACAACAACAACAACAACAACAACAACAACAACTTATCTATTTTGTCTTCTATTCATATGCATATGTTGTGCTTTTTTATCTTATTTTTACAAATTATTAGGTCCCAGAGGCTTCCCCTATTTTTTCCTTACCATAATTTTATAGTTGCAAGCTTCATTTCTTTATCCATTTTTAATCCATTTGAATTAGCTTTAGTGTGTGGTATTGGGTGTGGGTCCTGTTTAATTTTTGTGTGAATGGATATCCAATTTTGTTAGTGCCATTTATTAGAGAAACTGTTTCTGCTCCATTGTACTTTGGACTTTGAACCCTCATAAAAAATCATTCATCCATATACGACTGGGCTTGATACTGAGTTTTCAATCCTGCTCTACTGGTATACGTGTCTATCATTGAACTGGTAGCAGATTTTTTATTTTTTTATTCTATCGTTGTGTATTATGTTTTCTTTCTTGGAAGAAGCAAGGCCAGAGCCTGAATGCTCCTTAAGAACAAGGATTCTGAGACGGTGTCACATACTTTAGGCAAGTTATCAGGAAAGGCTGGTGTCTAGATAAAGACAAGAATATATGGCATAATTTCCTTTGTTAGTGTCGAGGAACCCAACTGATTTCTTATGTGTTGATCTTGATTCTAAAGTTTTTATTTCCAGCAGTTTCCCCACCCCAACATGGAATTTTTAGGGTCTTCTATTTAGGATCACACCATTTGCAAATAGAGATAATTTTGCCTCTTCCTTACCTGTTTGAAAACCTTTTCATTCTCTTTCTTGTCTTACTGTTCTGATACTTCCAATGTAAAATTGAATTACTGTAATTGAATAATTTAATTGAATTGAGTAACTGAAAACTGAATAATTAGATAATAGTGGAAGTAATGGGTTTATCTTTGTCTTTGAGTTTCAAACATTTTCTATGAATATGCAAAGGAGATGACATATTTTTATTTCTTCTAATTGAAATTCATGCAGCTTCTTGTATACTTAGAGGTCTGGCTCTCTGTTCTGGTCTGAAAAATTCTGATTATCTCTTAGAAGAATGTTTCTATGACTTTATTGCTGTCATGATGCTTTGGGATTCCAAGAATTCTAAAATAAGATTTCCTCCTTGAATCTCATTTCCATTTGATTATGTTCACTTTTCTCTTGAGACTTGCCAAGCTCAACTATTTCATCTTCTACTTCATTTATTCTATCTTCTATCTGTTCAATTGCATTGTTGCACATTCAGTTCTAGTAGTTCTTTCTTCTTTGAAACTTTTTTCATAAGTTTTCTCCCTACGTTTCCCAACATCCATAGGTTTAAATTTGTTTTCTGTGTGATTCTTGCTTTATTTAAACATATTTAGCACTTTGGTAATGAAAATTATCAATTCTTTCAACTAGTTTGGGATCTATAGAAGAAATTTTCTTCATCTTTTGCTTTTGATTGATCCTCCTTTTGTGATTTTTTGTGCTTTACTTCTTATATTTTAACTTGGGCCATTTAAAAAAAATTATTCCTTTTTTTTTTTTTACTTTAAATTTTGTATTCTGGTTTTTGTGGGAAAATTTTCTGATTGGGCCCCCCTGCTAGTGCAGTGGCCAAGCATCCAGCTGCCACCAGCAAGGCCAGGACCTACACTCACCAGCTGCTCTTTGGAAGAAAATCTGGTAATTTACCTCTACAAAGACTCGCAGCTCTGAGAACCACCCAGCAGCTCCACTCCTTCCCACAGGGTCACCTTGAGTCAGAATTTCATCCAGTGGCGGCAGGATTAGTATCTTCTCCTGAGAACCACTAGAGGTCACTCTTTTCCTGAAGCCTGGTTGGTTGATTTTTTTTTTTTTTTTTAAATGCTGATTTCAGAGTTCTGATGCTTGGCCCCTTGAATTCATTGCCATACACAAGAAGGAAAGGTTTATCTGAGATATAGCCTGACGTAGGTCATGTTGTTGTTGTGGTGGTGGTGGTGGTGGTGTACCATCGAGTCGGAACCGACCCACCAGCGGGTTTTCAGAGGCAGTAAATTGTAGGAGAAGAAGTTGCCCATCCTTCTCCTGAGGAGCAGCCGGCAGATTCGAACCATGTGCCTTTGGGATTGTAGTGCAAATGCTACCTAGGCTCAACTTTCCTGAGGTGAAGAGTCCTCTGTTTCCTTCTGTTGGCTCTTTAAAATATTCCCCTCTTGCTGCCTTTGCAATTCCTCCTGACTTAGTGCTCATACACCGGGTTTCAGAGAGATTCAACAACACTGCCTCATAAATAATGGTCTCCTTTACCCTTTCCCAAATGTATGACCAATCTATGCCACTTAAAGAATTGAGCTATACCTTCTTGAGACTAGTACCCTTCCAGTGTTTCTAAGTATCATACAAAAATATCTGTGATGAGTATATGTTCCCAATGCTAGAAGGAACTTTCCACACCATCCCTGGTCTTCTGCTCCTCATTTTTGGACTCTTCTACATCTCAGCTCCCTCTCAGAGTCTGAGCTCTCAGTCTGTGCTTCTTTTTATTTTTTTTGTTCAGTAGGTTAGGTGCTGGTGGAGTAATTAGGAGTGTCCACTCACTTGGCCATACTGTTTCATTCTCTGCAGATGGCATTGAGAAATATTGGCACCAGCCATATATGATTGATTGCTAGAGTTCTGGGGCTCACATGTGTTAATATAATGACATATGTTAATAATACTATGACTTGACTCCTATCTTTTTCTCCTGAAACACTTGTTTCTTTTTATTGTTCAAAACGTCTACCTTTGTTTCACAATTTAGAATGGGCATCCATTCTCAGCACTTTGTACTTGGTGCATAGGTTGTCCTAATCTTAGCACCAAGTGAAAAGCTTCTCCAACTTGAATTTACTCTGCATATTATCTTAGCTGTGTCTGCCCAGGCTGTGTGTCCTCTAGAGCCTGACTTATTGGGCCTGAATTTCAGATGGGAACTCAAGAGTGTTCCCTGAATGAGGTCACATTCCAGGAGGCACATTATGCCTCTGAAAATAACGTCAGAACTGACCTCTTTCCAGGCCTGGACTTTCAGCTCATTCCCAGGCCTCATTATTTGCAGAGTGTTTTGTTTCATGCCTCACTCCTCTCACATTTGCCTCTTTTCACTCTCAACTTTTATTAACAGTGGTTTTCCCTCTTGGTCCCCAGTGTTTAATTTCTCAAGCTTGTGCTCAAATCTGAACTTTCATTTGCTTGGATGAACGTAATATACTGTAATCACCTATGAAGAGGGTCTTGATGTCCACACTGAGCTCCTGGATGCAGGGCAATGAATGCTGAAATTGATTATAAGGCAAAAGTAAAGGTAGGGTGGATGGTGTTAATGCTTCCCAAATAACAACTTCATCTTCCTGTTTTTCTATATTACCTCCTTCTCCTGCCCGCAAATAATTTTAAGAAATCTCATTTCTGTTTCCTTGCCTGTCACAAACATTAAGAGGACAAAGGAGGTGGGCATCCCAGAGGCTCAGCTTGCAGCAGGCATCACAAGCTCAGGGTGGCTCATGCTTTGGGAGAAACTCACCTTTTTGTGGTGTTGAAGCTGCACCCAGCCTCCATAACCAAATCTCTGCAGAGAGAAGCACAGAGTTAGATTCAAAGGGAAAAAAGACAACAAAAAGAGGAATATCTTTATGGTTGGGGTCCCAATGACATCCTTTCTAGTCTCATCTCATTTCCCATGCCCCCCCATACTCAGGTATTACCTATTTATATTTAAATTAAGTTTTCCTTAATTAAATGTATTCAAGCAGAAACTGTATGTCATAGAAATACTAGTTTTTTGTTTTTTTTTTTTTTTTAGAAATACTAGTTTTATATTTTCTTCTACTGCAGATTGAACTTTTAAAGGAGAATATATAACAATATTTTTCCATGTACCAGATCTGAAGGGCCACTCCCTATGATATATGGTCTCAGGACAATACAGTCTGTGACTAGATCATAAAATTAGTTTGGTGGCTAATGATCCAGATATTTTTTTAATAAAATTTTATCTTAATTGTGATTTTAACAAATGTTTACAGAGAAGTTAGATTTTTATTTATTCATTCATTTTTTCCTTCTTTTTAAAATTGGTTTGCTTATAAAGTTTGTATATCATTCATTCATTTTTGCACATTTTACCTCCTCTCTATTCCTTCCCCTCCCAGTACACTTAAAAAAAATATTCATTCATTGTTGCGCTATTACCTACCACTCTCCTCCCCCCAGTCCTCTTTGAAATGATGTACCTCTTATTCTGAACTGTTATCATAAATACAACACCTAATCATATCGTCCTTTTAAACAGTTCTTTTCTTCATCTGTTCCAATTATCTGTTCACTCTTATCCTATTCTCCTATGTCAGTTCTGCTTTATAAAAGTGGTGCTATGCAGTATTTATCCTTATGTGATTAAAATATTTCATTCAGCATGATATCCTCCAGCATCACCCATCTTCAGTAATGTTAAGTTCATTTTTTCAGTGCTGTGTAGTATTCCATTGGATGAATATATCATTGTTTTTCTATCCATTCATTTGTCAGTGGGCACTTGGATTGCTTCCATATCTTTGCTATTGTAAATAGTGCAGCACTAAACATGGGTGTGCATATATATGTTTGGATGGTTCTGTTTAGGATATATTCTCAGTAGTAAAATTGCTGGGTCAAATAGTATTTTTATTTCCAACTTTTTGAAAAAGCATCAAACCACCTTCCATAGTGGTTGCACTATTTTACACTCCCACTAGCAGTGAATAAGGGTTCCAATCGCTCCACAACCTTGCCAGCATTTATTGTTTGCTGTTCTGTTGAACTTTTCTATTGTTACTGGGGTGAGATGATATCTCATAGTTGGTTTTATTTGCATCTCTCTGATAACTAGGGATTTTGAGGATTTCTTCATGTGTTTGCCTTCTGAATGCCTTCTTTGGTGAAGTGTCTATTCCTATATTGTGCCCATCTTGCAATTGGGTTGCTTACCCCTTTTTCTTGTTGAGGCATGATCTAGCCATTTTTAAATGCTGTGTGCTGGTTGAGGTTGTGTGTGTAGGTGACACCCACAATTCCCTGATTTGGCAGTTACAATGTGAACATCCTCTTTGAAAAGATCTGATCTCATGTAATCACCTCAGTCTTAGCTATGAGGAAAATATCAGTCGGAAGGAAGTTTCCTTGCAAGTGCAGCCTGCATCAATACTATCTGAATGCGTTGAAGTTCTCTTGCTTTTTGCTAATCTGCTTCTACAAGCATGTGGGTCATTTTCCTAAAAAAAACACCCAACCAAACAAACACACCAAAACCAAAAAATAACCAAACACCCTATCTTTCTCTCTCAGGGTGTGTTAATTGATTTTGCTTCTCTAGAGAACCCAGTCTAAGACAAGTATAAAATAATATTTAAAACAGATGCTGCTGATGATCCACCTACACATCCCTTTAATACTTCTGTGCTGCTAACCCCTACAATAGCCAGCATCTGCCTTTCTTGGACTGATGGTCACTTTGGCCACTGACACCAGCTTTGATCAGGCCCTGCTAGCAGATCAAAAGTGCCAAGACACTGATGCCTTTCCCCTCATTTCTCTCTCAACCAATGACCAAAAGAAGTTGACATTTTAAAAATCCCACTCTCCTTACCCCTCAGGCAGTGAGATAACTGGATCCCAGAGCATCCATCATCTTAGTGCTAACTTGCTAGATAGTTCACCTCATTTTCTCATTGATGTTTCCTGAACTTACTTCCAGAATAAACCATGTGCATTTTAATCTTTATCTCAAAGTCTTCTTTTTGGGCAAGTCAAACTAAGATCATAAGGAATGAAACAGAGTAGAATAGAATAAAATATAGTGGCAATGCCTACCATATAGTAAAGAGTAAGTATTATTTGATAAAGCCTGCTTTCATTTTGTTTATTAATGGACATTAATCCATAAGCTATGTAAATGTAATACATTGAGAAGAACCTAAGGGCAGATGTTGGCAGAGCAAAGGTTTCTTGCCATACTCAGGAAATGATTTACAAGATACTTAATTTTATTGAAGAAACATCATTTATAAGTCACTGCATTATTTTAAATATGTGGAATATGCTAATAGGAATAGCTTTGGCATAGATATTATGGGAATTAACTGAAATAATCCCAATACTGTCACACACTCCGGACCTGATTTCTTCAAAGAGCTTTGATGTCCTTACAATGATGATGTTGGTGACAGTAGTGCTTAGTGACAATGATAGTGGGGGTGCTGGTGACAATAGAATGATGGTTGTAGTGATGGTAAAGTGGCAGTGTTAATGGTTGTGGTGTGAAGCTGGTGATGGTAGTTGTGACAATAATGGAGATAATGATGTGAGACGGTGATGATGGTGGAAACGTGATGGTTGTCGTGGTGACAATGATCGCAGCAATGGTGGCAGTGGAGGTAGTGATGGCAGTGATGGCCGGGAAAGGCCAGGGAAAGGGATGATGATGGTGGTTGGATCAGTGGTGGTGACAGCCTATTTCTCTCCTGGGTGGAACAAAACACACTCTTACTGCAGGGATTAAGGAGAACTTAAAAGAAAGGCTGCCTCACATCTGTCAGCTAGCTTGTCCTACGGTGGTGTCTTGTGTGTTGCAGTGACGCCAGAAGTTCTGCCACAGATATTTCAAATATCAGCAGGGTCCCCATATAGGCAAGTCTCAGCAGGGCTTTTAGACTAAGACAGAGCAGCCAGCAGATTTGACCACCCACTTCTGAAACAATAGTCCCTTCAAACCTCCATGAACAGCAGGAGAACATTGTCTGGTACAGTGCTGAAAGGTGAGGCCGTCTAGTTAAAAGACACTTAAATGCGACTAAAGAAGAAAAGATGCCTCTTCAGAGTAATTGCTTCTTACTGATGTGGATGGAATCAAGCTTTCAGTCAATGAGGGACCTTCATTTGCTGATGTGGTATGACTCAAAACGGAGAAGAAAAAGTGGCAATCATCTCTCAACAATTGGAATGTGGAATGTATAAACTATGAATTCAGGGAAATGGGAAGTTATCAAAAGTCAAATTGAACACATAAAGATCAATATTGTAGGCATTGGAGACCTGAAATGAACTGGTATTTGCCATATTTAATAGGACAATCATATGCCAGAAATGACAAACAGAAAAGGAATCTTGTCACATGCCAAAACATGTCAGAATTTACCCTGATATGCACTACTGTCAGTGATAGGATAATATGTATATGCATGCAAGGCACCTGCCAATATGACTATTATCCAAATTCACAAACCAAATACTGAAGCCAAAGATGAAAAACTAAGAAAATGGAGAATTTCTGTCAATTTCACATTCTGAAATGGATCAAACATGCAATCAAGGTGCATTGACAATAACCAATGATTGGTATGTGAAACTTGGAAGCAGACAAAAAGGACTCGCAAGAAAATATGGTCTTTTTATTACTAATAGATAGATGATATAGACAGATATAGAGATATATAGATACATTTTAGAGCATATTCTTTTCATTTAATTTTCCCCCCATTCATTCATTGTTGCACATTTTCCTTCCTGCTGACTCCTCCCCCCTCAGTTCATGGTCTTAGTGATAAGAAAAGGGAGCTCTGGTAGCCTAGTGACAAGAAGCTTGGCTGCAAACCTGAAAGCATGAGGTTCAAATCCAACAGCTGCTCTGTGGGAGAAGGATTGGCAATCCCTTACTTTGCAGTTAGCTGCCCTCAAAAACCTGCTGGAGAGTCAGCTATGTGTCAGTTCTGACTCAATGGTACACAACCACAAGCGATTAAAAAAAGAGGTTGAAGATTGCGTGATAAAATTTTATATTATCAATGACTTATTCATTTTAAGTAAGTTTTTAAAAAGACACAACTATCTAGTATATATGTGGACCTCACAAGAAAGAATCTCTCTCATTTGAGAGATTTGGAACATAGGAGTTGGAACAGACTCACAGCTGGACTTCTATTGCTTCTGAGGCTGTAAATCACAGAAGAAAAAAAAAATATTCAGTCTTTCTTCCTCATAGCCACCAGCCAATTTGAACTTCCAGAGAGCTTTGACCTTTGGGTTAGCAGCACAACTCCGTATGGACTATGGTCCCTAGATATCATATCCAGGAGTAAAATTTGCTCCATTTGTGAAGAAAGGCAGTAGAGAAGTTCAATATGTCAGTCAGAGCCAGGTCAGGGACTAGTTGTGGAATAGAACCTCAAATGCCTCAATGTAAGTTCTAATTGAAGCTGAAGAAAATAAAAACAAGTCTATGAGAGTAAAAATATGACCTTGAGTACATCCCACTTGAACTAACAGACTGTCTCAAGAACAGATTTTATGCATTAAACACTAATGACCAAACATGAGTTGTAGAAGAACATTAAAGACATCATCTAAGATGAAAGCAAAGGTCATTAAAAAGATAAGAACTTTTTTTAAACCCACAAACCAAAAAAATGTCTAAACAGACTATGAAACTTGATTTAGTGAGTAAGTCTAAAATGAATGGAGAAATGGTGACGTCAAACTGCTCACAGAGATTATAAAGGGCAGCTCAAGGTAGGGGGGAAAAACCCAAAGCTAAGT